ACCGTCTTTAATTTGCAAGGCTCTTCACACACATTGGACCAATGATGCCCTTCCCTTGTTTCAGTTGCTCCTAGACTGTTGCTAGATCCTCACCAGATCCTTCTGGCCTGGAAGAATCCTGGGTTTCTGTGGCAGCTTGTTCATCGGGTACCCCTTGTTAGGGTCCAACAGTGTCCTCCCAAATTCATAGCCTAAGACCTTCTTTTAGTAATTGTTGCCATTGCTTTGATGAAACACCACGTCCGAAAGCAACTTGGAAGGAAAAGGTTAATGTGACTTACATATCTGAAGTCATAGTCCTTTGAGGGAAGCCATGACAGGAGCTCAAAGCGGGAGGGAACCTGGAGGAAGGAGCTGATGCAGAGGCTGTGGAGTGGTGTTGCTTAATGGCTTGCTCCACGTGTTCTGTTTGTTTGTTTGTTTGTTATTGTCAACCCAGAACCATCAGCCCAGGGGTGGCCCCATCTATAAAGGTCTAGGCCCTCCCACATCAATCACTGATTAAGAAAAGTCCTACAGGCTTGCCTACTGCCCTGTCTTATGGAGCCCCCCCCCCCCCCTTGAGACTCCTTCTCTCGCTGACTCTAGCTTGTGTCAAGTTGACATAAAACTAGCTAGAACAGACTTGAAGGCTCAGGAGGAGATGTTAAGAGGTGGGGACTTGGGGAGATGGCTAGGTGTGAGGGCGAGCTTTCATGGATGGGACTCGTGTTCTATGCAGGGAACCAGGGAAAGCTCCCTGTGCCCTAGTGAAACAGCACACACTGAGCCTGGAGGAGGACTCCCAGCAGCCCGCAGACCTGCTGGCTTTGATTATGAAATCTCCGCCTCCAGAATGTTGAGAGATGCAGAGCAGTGGTTTCTAGGCCATCAGTCTCGTGGCATCTGCTACATCGCCCTGACGCACTAAGATACCACACCTGAGAAACTATTCCTTGCATTTTGAATTTACCTTACTCTGGATTAGCCTACCAACTTGCAGTGTATGGCTGCATGCTATTCACTCAGGTGCCCACAGGATGCAGATGGGGATGGATGTACTATGTGTGAAGCTAGCTATTCACTCAGGTGTGCACAGGATGCTGATGGGGCACAGATGTACTAAGTGTGTGGAGCCTGAGGTGTCAGTTGGCCCTTTCACGCTAGCACGTGGACACCTTCCTGTTGGGGATATTATTGGAATGTTAATTTCAGGGGTGTGACTTTTGTTTATGCTGCATTTGTTTAACTCTGCAAAACTGTGGTTCTTTGCCTGTCTAGAACTCCTGATGGTCCTAATAAAGAGCTGGATGCCCAATAGCCAGATGGGAGCAAAGATAGGCGGGACTAAGAGGCAGAGAGGATAAATAGAAGGAGAAATCTGGGAGGAGAGAGAAAGAGGAGCCAGAGGACAGAGAGAGGAAGATGTCAGGGGCCAGCCACCCCGTCACCCAGCCAGCCATGGGGAAAGAAGGAAAGAAGCCCAGAGGCAAAAGGCAGTCGAAATAATTTAAGGTAAGAAAAGCTGGCAAGAAACAAGCCAAGCTAAGGCCAGGCATTTGTAACTATGAATTAACCTCCATCTGTGATTTATTTGGAAACTGGGTGGCAGGCCCCCAAAAGAGTTAACTATCTCACAATACCTTCCTCTTGAAAGGAGGGCCCTTGCTGCCTCGGTCTGTCGTAATGATGCACAGTCTCTTGGAAAAGCACTTGTTGGCACAAGCTCCCCACACATGCCACCAACCACTCAACCTCCGCTGCCTAGGTTTGCAGGGGGCCCGGCAGCTGGTGGTAGGAGCTGGTAGTTGAAATCTCTAACCAAAATTTGCCCCCTGAAAAATATTTTAGTCGTTCTAGATTCAGTGTTATCCACTAGTAGAATTTAGAAAGCTTTTATAGTTTCATTCAGTAGATCTGTGAAGAAATGTGGGGTTTTTTAAAAAATAAATTTTTTAAAATAGTTTTTGAAACAGGATCTCGTTTTGTAAACCCAACTCTCCTGGAACTCACTGTATAGTCCAGGTTAGCCTTGAACTCCCAAAGATCTGCTGAAGAAATTCTTATAGATGTTACTTTTATGTGTGTGAGTGTTCTGTCTGCATGCATGTATGGGTACCACATTTGTGCCTGGTGCCCACAGAGGTCAGAAGAGGGTATTGAATCCCCTGGCATTGGAGTTACAAATGGTTGCAAGTCACTAGGCGGGTTCTGGGAACCAAACCCAGGTCCTCTGCAAGAGCAGCCGGTGTGCTGAACCACTGAGCCATCTCTTCAGCCCCTGAAGAGAGGTTTCATAAGAAGTTCTAGCTGCCCAGAAATCAGGAAGGTCTCCGAGCTGGTGGTACAGTGTGAATTTGATATATGTACTCATCTATGTAAGCACAGATATTTAGCAGTTCGTTCACTTACTCTAGATGCACATACATGTGTATTTCAAATCGTAATTTTATATTTTATACAAGAGGTTGCCAGACCATTACTGGAAACTTATTAATGCTTCAGCCTGTAGCCTGTCGACGCAGAGAGCTAATGTAAGCAGCAGGAAGAGGGAGGTAAGTTAGTAAGCAGAGTAAGGGGCTTGACTGGATCAAGGAACCCCGCAGTTACGGTGCAGCCCAGGCCTTCACTCTTACATATGGAAAAGCTAAAGTCCCAAGCAGTCACCTGGCAGACATCCCAAGGTGGGGCTGCTCTGGAATCCAGCCCTCCTGACATCATCGACAGTTTTCGAATGTAATAGCATGCTTGCACACTAACGTCATAACTGATCAGGATATTAGTCAAACTGTCGCCCAGAAACTATTTCTGTTCACAAAACTTGGGGAAGTGTCAGTGGTCTTTGAAAAATGCCATTCCATGCTCTGGGTGGGTGGATGTATATGTTTTTGGAAACTTCTCTCTTGTGCCTTCATTTTCTCGGGCGATGCCTAATGAGTGAGTGTGGGTGTGTTTCTGCCTCAGAATGAGGAGGGCAAGTCTTCACGGGGATGGCGTGAGCTCGGAAGTGGTGTTGCTCTGATGGTGCCCGTGTCACAAAGCAGTCAGTCACTAGGACAGGGAGCTAAGTTGTTCCTTGACACCTGAAATCTCTCTAAAATATATTTTCTTGTTTACGTTGACTATACTAGTGGTATTCATTCAGCATAGAACCAGAAAACAGGGCTCATGGGATGGCTCAGCCGCAAATGGTGTCTGCTGCCAGGCCCGGGAACCTGAGTTCAATCCCCAAGACCCCTATTGGAAGTTGTGTTCTGACCACCACATGCACATACACATGCACATACACATGCACGCACACGCACATACACAATAAATTAGACTATAATTGAATTTTCTTTTAAAGAATTTCGTCTGCATGGACTGGCTTTTTGGGATCCTGGCCTGTTTGGATGCTCACCTTCCTGGACCCAGAGGGAGGGGGGAGGAACTTGGATTCCCCACAGGACAGGAAACCCTGACTGCTCTTGGGAATGGTGAGGGAGGAGGAGAGGGAGTGGGGGAAGCGGGAGGGTATTGGGAGGAGGGGAGGAAGTGGAAAGAGTGTTTTCGGATACTTGAATAAACAAAAAAATAAAAATAAAAAAACATAAAAAAAGAATTAGAAAATAGATACCAAATCTATGAAGAAAAATGCTTAGCTTGAGCCAAAGAATTATGCTGATAACACCTTGCCATAGGTTTTACCTTGCTTGCTGGCCCATTTGTACTGTTTCTGTTTGCTTCATTGCTGCACACAGCCACACGAGGCTCGATTATGTGACCCATAGTTTACTTTTCCGGTTTTCAGTTAATAATGAAAATATTTTCACCCAGATGCCCCAAGCTCAACCAATATTCTGAAACCGTTGCAAATGAATCTGTTCTGTGGCTGTGCCTCAATCTGATAAACCGCTCCTCACCGTTGGACATTTTGGTCACCTTCCGTGGCTTTTGCTACTGTGACCACAGTCTCCCTACTCCCAGCCTTCATCATCTCCTGAAATAGTATCTTGGAAAGGCCATGGTGTGTTGAAGGAAGCTGGATCTTTTATGATGTGCTGTGTGTGCTGTCAAAACTCCAGGACTGTTTTTCTCCTCTGACTTTTTGATATTTAGAAAGTTGATCATGTCCATAATTTCGGAGTCTCCAAGTTGTAATCCACCAAAGACCTATCCTGGCCATTCCTCCCCCTCCTAACTGGCTCCTTACCCCCTCTTTCCTTGTATGACCTCCTTGACCCCTATGTGTAGCCATGGGGCTCCAGCGGCTGCCCCAGAGGAATTGGAATGGTGGGTAGGACCCACAGAGAATATTAATGCATGGGCATACATTTGGGCCTACCCACTGGTTTTTAGAATGTAGTTTTAGGACGTTTCCTGGGCCCACCTACTCTCACTCATACACATGCCAGGGGCCCCGATTGGTGCCTGACCATTTAGAAGCTTCAGGCTAGTCCTTTGGCTTGTGACCAAGTCCTAGTTTCTCCCCCTGATCTTGTGACCTACCTCGCATGCCTTTCTTCCCTCCATAGCCCCACTTTGTCTGTGCTCTAATTACAGTGACCTTTTCCTGTTCTGCAGAATGTCAAACTCCTTCCTAATCATGGTCTTCAAAGATAGGAATGGCCTTGCACTGGGAGTTGCTTACCTTTCTCTTACTCCTCCATCTTGGGGGTCCAGCCAGGTGTGGTGAAGGAGAAGGTGGCTGCTGAGGTCAGACTTGAGTTACTCAACCTGCCTGTGCCTTTATTTCTAAGTGGTAATAAAAACAACACCCCAAAGGGGTTGCTTGACTACGGTGGGTGGAAGCTGTAAACGCTAACCTCCTCCTACAGGTTTCTGTACTTGCTTGTGCTGAGCCATGGATAGAGCACTCTTCCTGGACCAGCATATCTTTGGACTATCTATATGAAGCACAGCTATCTCCTTCCTGTTACAGAGAGGGAGTGTGAGCCCTGCCCAGGGCCAGATGTTAAAATACATCTGCATCTCCTGGGAACTTCCTGAGTTTCTTGACTCTTTTTTTTCCTTCTCCGTAGCTCCCCTGGAACCGATAATTTCATCCAGCCAGCTGCTCCTGCAGACCTGGGACACCCACCCTTAGCTGACTCTTCCCATCATGGTGACAACGCCAGCTCAGTCGCTACACATCTGACAGTCCAGAGGTACAGTAGAAACATGGCTGGGGCTGCCTGAGCCCAGGCCCCATGAGTTCTCCCTCCTTCTCTTCCCTATCCCCACACTCGTTTCTCACAGTGTCTGTCTACCTGTTCTAAGCACAGTAGGTTGTTCCAGGGCTTAGCTTCTTCTGGCCTTCGTTATACTCTGAAAGGACACTGGAAGCCCTCCAGAGAGTGTATTGCTGCTTCAGGACCTGGTTTAGGGAGCTGGCTACCTGCTGGCTGCTGGGACATCAGCTTGTCCAGCTGCTTGTTTTCTTCTGTCTTTGGGTGATGATCAGAGAACAGAGGCGTCAGCAGGGCGTGGGAAGAGGAGCCAGGTTCTTGGGCCTCTGCCCAGCACAGAGACCTGGACTCTTGGCTCCGTCTTTTGTCCTGTTGCCTCCTACAGTCCTTCCGTCTTCCTTGCCCTTCACACCCCAGTTCTTTGCTACCCCCTGCTTGGCCTGGATTCAGCTTCACCTCCCCCTTTTCCTGCAGCCTTTGCATTTAGACCAGACTTGTTTAGCAGTGGCCTTGAGACTGGGCTAATACCCGTGTGTGTGCGCGCGCACACACACACACACACACACACACACACACACACACACACATTTTTATAAATAATTACACAGTGCACATTGCCATCAACACTTGGGTCTCTGGATTAGTTACTTTTCTTGTTGCCATGACAAATGCCCAACAAAAGCAAGTTGTGGGGCAGAGGATTTGTTTTGGCTCACAGTTTGAGGGTCCAGTCTATCATGGCACAGAAGGCACAGCCGCAGGACTGCACAGCAGCTGGTTACTTAGGGCCCATAGGCAGGAAGCAGAGAGGGATGACCTCTGGCACTCTGCCACTTCCTCTAATGGCACAGGACCACCCACAGTTAGGGTAGGCCTTCCCTTCTCAGTTAACCCATCTAGAAAGTCCCTCCTAGACCTGCCCACAGACTTGTCTCCTCTGTGGTTCTAAATCCTTCCAAGCTGACAATATTAACTGACATAGTCTCTGGCTGTACACATCTTAGTTTATATTCATAGTCTCCATCTGTACACATTTTGTATGCTGTGAATATGTTCTATTACCATTGGTTAATAAAAAAGCTGCTTCATCCTGTGGCAGGGCAGAATAAAGCCAGGCAGGAAATTCAAACAGATATATAGAGAGAGTAAGCAGAGTCAAAAAGATGCTATGTAGCTGCTGAAGGAGAAAGATGCCGGAACCTTACCAGTAGGCCACGGCCTTGTGGTGATACATAGATTAATAGAAATGGGTTAATTTCAGCCGTTTTAGATTCCTCTGTTGAGAGTTCTCTGTTTAGATCTGTATTCCTTTTTTTTTATTTGATTATGTGTTCTTTTGGTGACCAATTTCTTGAGTTCTTTGTTTATTTTGGAGATCAGACCTCTGTCTGATGTGCAGTTAGTGAAGATCTTTTCCCGTTCTGTAGGCTGTCATTTTGTCTTGTTGACCATGTCCTTTGCTTTACAGAAGCTTTTCAGTTTCAGGAGGTCCCATTTATTAATTGTTTCTCTCAGTGTCTGTGATGATGGGGTTATATTTAGGAAGTGGTCTCCTGTGCCAATGCATTCAGGTATATTTCCCACTTTCTCTTCTATGAGGCTCAGTGTGGCTGGCTTTATGTTGAGGTCTTTGATCCATTTGGACTTGAGTTTTGTGCATGGTGATAGATATGGGTCTATTTTCATTCTTCTACATGTTGATATCCAGTTATGCCAGCACCACTTGTTAAATATGCTTTCTTTTTTCCATTTGATATTTTTTGCTTCTTTGTCAAAAATTAGGTGTTTGAAGATGTATGGGTTGATATCTGGGTCTTCTATTTGGTTCCATTGGTCCTCCTGTCTGTTCTTATGCCAATACCAGGCTGTTTTCAGTACTGTAGCTCCGTAGTAGAGTATGAAGTCAGGGACTGTGTTTCCTCCAGAAGTTCTTTTATTGTACAGGATTGTTTTGGCTATTCTGGGTTTTTTTTTGCTTTTCCATATGAAGTTGAGTGCCGTTCTTTTGAGGTCTGTGAAGAATTTTGCTGGGATTTTAATGGGCATTGTGTTGAATCTGTAGATTGCTTTTGGTAGGATTGCCCCAGGCCTCTTTTAGCGTGGGACACAGTAGGATGACTGTGTGCACCATCTTGAGTTGATTTGTGGACCCTCACAGGGCCCATGGATGATGGAGTGCTGTTCTGGCTGCATCTCACAGATGCACTGACTCAGGTTCCCAAGTGTTAACAGGCTCAGGCCATATAGCAGCCATATTGAGGCAGGTGCATTGGCATGCTCAGCATCCTCCTAACCTCATTCCTGGCAGATGTCATCTACATCATTACCTAGGAGTGACCACAGAATGCAGGTTGAGAAGGGAGGTCAGCATAAATCAGCATAGGTCAGCTCTTAGTACCGAGGACTAGGCCAGCTTCCCGACCTTGCCTCCCAGAGGAAGAATAGCTAAGACTGAGGCAGGAGCCAAAATCAGGGAAGCATTCAACTCAAGAGAAGCCAGCGAGAGCCAGAGCATTTGTGCAGGAGGAGGGTGTCACTAGGTTGGTGGGAACGAGGCAGTCCCTTTAGGAACTGCCGTTGGTCGGTTTCACTTTGGTCACCCAAGGTGATTAAAATTGTATTGTCATAAAATACAATCAATTCTCATTATTCAGCCCATATTTGTGAATTTGATTCTTCAGCAAGACTTGATGATAACCCCAGAGTCAGTTTTCATGGCTCCCCCTCAGTCCTTTGCAGATGTATTGAGAGCAGTGCAAACAATGCAGTTACTCAACATGAGCGCTGTCAGCTGGAAGATGCTTTCTCAATGTTTCGGCTCTCGTGCTGTGAACATGTGACCTTTTCATGGTGCACTGGAAACCTTTGGTGCTTTTGTTGGTGATCTTGCTGTTGGGAACAACCCCTATGTACAATGTTGAAGTTCAGAGGAGCCTGAATGTGCCCAGTGAAGAAAATATGGGGGTCACTGAAACTTTGCTCTGTCTGGCAGGAGTTAATGCCATTGTCTGAGTAGGGTGCTAGTAAATCAGAGTGTGACCTTGGATGCTTTCAAATAGAAATACACACACACTAAAGGTTGCATTTGGATAGACTGACTGATCAAAGTCTTCCCAGGGGCTCTCGGGAACCTAGAGCATATCCCCCGCCCCATCCAAGTGGTTTGGTGTTGGCTGAGTCATATCTGTGAATTCCATAGACCATTGCTGTGAATTGCAAACAGCAAATGGACTAACCCCTGCCCACCTGTTGGAGTGACTAAGAAGCGCATCCTGGAGGGTGCGGTAGTGACTTTAACCTCAAAAGTGACTGTCTTCCCCTTCCCGCTTAGAGTAGGCAGGAGATAAAGGAAGATGTGGGATGGGGGCATGGCTTGGCTTGCTGCAGAAACAAGGCTTGCTGTTTGTTCAATTTGGGTGACAATATTTGTGGAGAGATGCGAGCAAACTTTTACTGTCCTCAGATAGAGTACCAGTGACAGACCAAAGTAAGGATACAACCAGAGTCCAAACTGGTGAATCACCGAGTTTTACTGGGGTTATTTTCTGGAGAATGGGTGAGGGGCTACAGGATCAGAAATGACTCAAAGACAGCGGTGTCACCAAAGCCCACCCCAGTGTGGGTGACAGCTCATGAAAGCTGGGACCCTGGAATACACTACACAGCCTGCAGGCGGCTCAGCGAGTTGGAGACCATCTCTTCTGAGCATCTTTCAGCCGTCCTACTGAGGAGCCTAGTGATTCTGGTCAGTTTCAGGGGCTTCTGAAGCTTTTGAGTTGTCTACTTCCTGAGTTTTAAGGCACTTCCCTGCAGGATGGAATGCTTCATCTGCCTTTAGAATAACAGTTCTCAACCTGTGGTTGGCAATCTCTTTGGGAGTTAAATGACCCTTCCTTAGGGGTCACATATCAAATATTTATATTACTATTCATAACTGTAGCGAAATTATAGTTATGAAGACCAACAAAAATAACTTTACGGTTGGGGTCAGCACAGCATGAGGAACTGTGTTACAGGGTCGTAGCGTTAGGAAGGGTGAGAACCACGGCTCTGGAACATCCCAGTCACAACTGTTTTATCTTTGAGGAGATTGCTAAACAACAGAATTTAAAATAAAAACTTTTTAAAAAGTGGTTTTTGAGGCAAGATCTCACTATGTAGCCCTGGCTATTTTGGAACTATTGATTTAGACCAGGCTATCCTTTTCCTTAGAGATTTAACTGCCTCTGCCTCCTGAGTGCTGGGATTAAAGGTGTGCACAACCATGCTCAGAAAAAAAAAAGTTCCTTATAACTCGCAACTATTTTTTTAGATTTTTAATTAAAAAAATATTTATGTGTATGCGTGTGTGCGCCACATGTATGCAGGTTCCCTCAGAGACCAGAAGAAAGTTTTGAATCCCCCAGAGTTAGGGGTACAGGTTGTTAGCCACCTGATATGGATGCTGGGAACTAGCAGCAAGCACTCTTAGCTGTCAATCACCTCTCCTTTAAATACTTTTTTAAATCAGCACGATGGCTCAGTAAATAAAGGTGCGACTCCTGCAAACTGCCCTTAGACTTCCCCACTCACGCCATGCCATATGTGTGCATCTGCTTGCAGACGTGTGTGCATGCGTGCGCGCACACACACAAATGCAATAAAAAAAATTAGGAAAAAGTAAAAAAGGTATTTCAAGAAAATGGAGCCAGGCACTGTGGCTCATGTCTGAGATCCCAGCACTAGGGAGGCAGAACAAGTCACCGTTGCCTCCACTACAAGGGATGCCTGCCTGCTCTGTGAGGCTGTCTCAAAGATTTAACAACGAAGTAACAGAAATCAGAGTAGGAGCGTGTGTAAACCTCCTGAGAGGGAGAGAAGAGAACCCCCACTCAGGATCGCTTGTTGATGCTCTGGTGTCAAATCCTCAAGTTTCTTGTGCTCTTCATGGGAAGGGAGCTGGTGCTCTCTCGGAGGTATCCCTCAGGTGAAAGGAGAGC